AACTTGGAGCGAGGGAGAGAGACGAGAGCTGTGCTAAAAGTGGTCACACACGCAAGACCAAAGAGAACGGGACGGGCGCCACACGAGTCACGACGCGCACCGCGGGCACGATGGCATCAACATGGGGGCTACACATCTCACATGCCCCTGGGCGGTGATTATTACTCCGAGAGTCCGACACTGTATATGGCGTACACGCGTACATGGGGGGGGGGGGGGGGGGCCCGGGATTGGGCTTGGGGAGGGTCCCGGGGGCATGAAAAAAAAAATGGGGAAAACAAAAAACCGGACGCTCGACAAGATCCTCCACGGACATGCAACAAGAGGGGGGCGTCACGGACACCCAAAGCCGTAGGGACAGCATCGATCTGAGCTTGAAATCGATCTTCTAAATAAACAGGGGAAAGGGGCGGAAGGGGGGCAAAAAAATGCCAATAATGAACAACTTCGGGGGCTGCGGGGCCAATAAAAAGATGGATAATGAATTAAAGCTTTCCTTGGCTCAATCAGTCGTAAAGCTCCAAATGAGGTCACGGTCATGGCCGCACCCTGTGCCACGAGTGCAGCTGCCTGCTATCTCATCCTGGGTGCAGAGGCGAGCGCCGGCATCGGCACAAATTGCCGTTGCCTCCAAGAACGTCTTGGAGTGGGCGCACTCGCCCATCTCTGGCCCCTGAGAATCACTCCACACCGAGCAACCCTGATTCCGGCGCCACGAATTGGAGAGCCGCGTCTCGGAGCAACAGCGAACCTCATGCAACTCTGTATGCGCTGCAAACTTCGCTGCCTCCGTGCACCGACCGGGCCTGCCGCATTCGATCCAATTCTGCGGTGGAGGCGGCGACGGCGACGGCGACGGCGGAGGCGGCGACGGGATTGGGGAAGCGAAGGGTGGCGCCAGGGGGGAGTGGTCGAGGAGATCAGAAATGAGAATGCACTCGACGCCATTGAAAACTTCGACGGCAAAGTCGCAGGCATCGCATGGCAAGAGCCCAGGCGGAGCGACCGGACCCGGCGACGGCGTAGGCGACGGCGGGGGCACTGGCAACGGCGACGGCACCGGCGAGGGCGACGGCACTGGCGACGGCGCTGGCGAGGGAGAGGGAGACGGCGCCGGCGAGGGCGACGCGCCCGAGGCGTAGGTGGCGGTCACTGTGGCGGCGCCTGTGAGGCCATTGTACCCGGCCAGGACGATGTAGTACTGCGTGTCCGCCTCGGGCACAAAGTCGTCGATGAAGGAGCTGTCGAGAGTGCCAGCAGCCAATCTGAGGCAGTTTGTGACGCGCATTGCGTCAGAAGCGTGCACGCAGCTGGAAGGACACCTTCCTACTGGCCGTACGATCAATCGTCACTGAATGCTTGATACTAAGGCCGCGAGCTATGCAGGTGATCAATTGTGCAGCATGGCACGGTCAGCAGCGCCGACAGGCTGTCGCAAGGCGTGATAGCATGGCCGCAAGTACGCCGAATTCCCATGAAACAAGTGAAAAATTGCGCAAAAAAAGACAAATCCCGAAAAAATCGGCGCCTGCGGCGGGCCATCCGACCCCATCTCCCCCCCGCATGAATACCCTCTAGGGCCCCCGCGCCCCCCCGGAGTTGAATTCTCCTCCCTCAGCGCTCAGGCTGTTCCATCTCCCCTCATCTCGTTCCCCCACCACTGAGCACTGTTATGTTGAACGTCTGTTGAACGGCGACGCGTTCTATTCCATTCTATTTTCTCTGCGCGGTAACCCACGCGGTAACCCACGCGCTAACCCGCGAGCTAACCCGGGCACGCTAACCCACACTTCGCCCAGATGATGGCAGGGTGCCCGCCCTCCACCCAGCTCCCCACACACTCTCTGGTGTCTGAGAGATGCTCGCACTCTGTGGCATTGGTAGGCTATGCCACTTTCCCGCGCCACCGCCCACCCCTCGTACGGCTGTGTGAGCAGCTCCCGGCGGGACCTCGAGGGACTGCACGCGCGCCCGCGCGGCGCGGGGCCCAGCCCACAGCCACGATCGTTCACAAGAGAACGCACCCCAGAGTACGAGAGCCCCTTCCCCATGGCTGCCACTGCGCCAGCTGTCCTTGCGCGCGGGCTAGGCCGCCTCCCGCGCCCTGGCCCTCGCAGCGGCACCTGACGCGCGCCTTGCCTTCGCTGCGGCGAGCGCCGCCTCTGCCACCGCTACTGCCGCCTCGGCCGCCGCTACTGCCGCCTCCTCCTCCGCTGCGGCAGCCTCCTCCTCCTCTGCCGCTGCCACGGCCGCAGCCTCCGCCTCAGCCTGCCGGCGCGCCTCCGCTGCCGCCTCCGCTGCCGCCTCCTCGCCCTCCTCCTCGCCCTCCTCCTCGCCCTCCTCCTCGCCCTCCTCCTCGGCCGCCTCCGCCGTCTCCTCGTCGCCCTCCTCCTCGCTCGCCTCGCCCGCCGCCTCTCCCAGCGCCTCCGCCAGCCCCTCGACCGACGTCTCCGGCGTGATGCCGAACCGGATCCTGTCCTCGTGGAGCTCCGCGAGAAGCCGGAGCAGCCCCTCCCTGTCCAACGGCGCGGGCTTGGCTGCGGCTGCCTCCGGGGCCTCTTTCTCCTGCGACGGCCCAGCGCTGCCACTCCCGCCGCCCTTCTTCTTCTTCTTCTTGCCCTTCTTGCCCTTGGCGCGCTTCTCCGCCTCGACCTCCGCCAGCAGCTCCTCGGCGTGCCGCGCCGCCTCCTTCTCCGCCGCCGCCCTCTCCGCCGCCCTCGCCGCCGCCCTAACACTCAACGGTTGTAAGAGCGCAATCGATCGGCAGTAGGGCTGGCAGGGCATATGCCGGGGAACGGGCGTGTGTGTGTGTGTGAGTCACTCACTCACATCACGCCGCCCGGGGAACGGGCCTTTCGAAAAAAGAATTCTCGGGTTTCTCGAAAAAAGAATTTAAAAAGGAACTCTCTTCTCACAGCTCGACACAGGTGCGAACTGGCGCGTGCTAGCACAATCACAGGCACACAAAAGAATTGTTCGAAAAAAATCTGTAGGCGCACTGGCACGCACTGGCACTAGGAATTCCTAAACACACACACACACACACACACACACACACACACACACACACACACATGCATGCATGCATGCATGCACAGACAAACAGCCCCTTCCCCTTCCCCCTCAAGAGGCGAGGACACACACAGGACGCACCTCTATCTAGCGAGGCCCATGTGGGAGACTCCTGCCGCCGCCCCTGCCACCCCTGTGTCAGTGTGCCTGTGGTTGCGAGAGACTGCCAGTGAGAAGCTGGAGCGTGGAGGCAGGTCGCTAGACTGAGATGAGACCGCCAGTGGAGTTGGGAGTCCACCGTGCACCGCGCTGCGAGCCTGTCGAGTCCCTTGTCAGGAGCAGGAGAGCCCCACGCCCCCACCTGTGCCCCTGATCGTCCTTCCAAAATCCTGCTCGTGCAGGTGTGGACCCTGTCCTCCTCCCCCATCCCTCGTTAGGGTGCCCACAGGGCCCAAAAAAAGAAAGGAAAAAAGAAATGGGCCAACCCCGATCGCAGCACTTCGTGTTGGCCAGTCGAGAAATTGAGAGTGTGACTAGGAGGGTGGGACGCTGGGGATTCTCAAAGGTATACCCTTGGAATGGCCGGATCCAGCCTTAAAAGTACGAGATCGCGCGCGCTTCGCGCGCTGCACCGCCTATTCTCCGCGGCTGTGTGACGACGCGTGCCGTGTGCCAGCAGAGTTGGGCGCGCGCGGCGCGACGGCGCCCGCGAGGGAAGGCGCGGGTGCAGCGGCCGCCGGCGGCCGTACCGCCCGCCAGCCGGCGCAGCAGCGGCCAGCGCAGCGGCCGCCGGCGCAGCAGCCAGATCAGCCGGTACGCGCCTTGCGAGGCGAGTACTGCCGCCCGGCAGCCTTGAGGCGGCCGGGCGGCAGTACTCGTTCGAACTTTGCGAGCCGTGCGCGCGCCGAGGCGCGCTCGGCGCGCGCCCGCCCGGCTGCCAGTAGGAGGCGGCGCAATATGGCCTATAGTACAGCCCTTGAGGAGGAGGAAGAGACTGGCTGGCAGTGCTGTATGCCGCCGAGGGGCAGTTTTGGGGTGCTGTCCCCATCCCAGGGGGCTGCAGAAGGCGTCCGCAGCCGGGACAACCCGCCCCCCCAGCCGAGGCCGGTCGAAGCCCACTTGGAGGCAGCCATGAGGAGTCCTCTTGGTGCTCCTGGCGCCCGTTGGAATGGCGAGCGCGCGCCGATGGGGGGGGGGGGGGGTCTTGCTTGCTCCACACCGAGCGCCATCGGTCCGGACCGGTGCCTCCACCGAGGGGTGGCCTGCACAAGGTCTGAGCCGCGGGCGCTCGGCGCCAAGTGCAGTGTCACGCTCGCACGCGAAGGGGACACAATGGGGAACCCTCGTTTCCTAGTCACTCGGTCCCCCAACGGAAGGGGCCTCTCTCCTATTGAAACATTCCAACATCAGATCTTTTGAGGAGGAAAGCTATTTTTTTGGGTCCTGTGGGCACGACCCTGCGAGACCCTGACGCTGCTGCTAGCTATCAGACATGCACTGCTGACTGCTGCCACAATGTGCGACCTGTGCTGGCCCACTTGGCGGCCTTCCCAGTCAGTGGTGAGGCGCAGTCCAGAGCTGTCGATGGCGCGATGCCGCACTGGTCCCAGGAATGCAGTTTTGCGACGGTGTATCATACACTTTATGCCACCGTTGCATATCCCACCGTCGCAGTCCCACATTGGTAACACGAGACCACCACGTTTGCCGGCCCAAGAGAGAGGCACTGGTGCTGTCCTGAGAAGGTGCGTGGTCCCTCTTGACTGCCCATGCGCGCGAGGCTGTGTAGGCATAGCCTCGAGAGTGCCAGCAGCCAATCTGAGGCAGTTTGTGACGCGCATTGCGTCAGAAGCGTGACACGTTGGAAGGACACCTTCCTACTGGCCGTACGATCAGGTCGTCACTGAATGCTGGATACTGAGGCCGCGAGCTATGCAGGTGGTCAATTGTGCAGCAGGGCACGGTCAGCAGCGCCGACAGGCTGTCGCAAGGCGTGATAGCATGGCCGCAAGTACGCCGAATTCCCATATAAACAAGTGAAAAATTGCGCAAAAAAGAAAACAATGCCGACAAAATCGGCGCCTGCGGCGGGCCATCCGACCCCATCTCCCCCCCCCCGCATGGATACCCTCTAGGCCCCCGCGCCCGGCCCCCCCAGAGTTGTATTCTCCTCCCTCAGGCTGTTTTCCATCTCCCCCCTCATGCCTCATCTCGTTCCCACCAGCACCACTGTTATGTTGAACGTCTGTTGAACGGCGACGCGTTCTATTCCATTCTATTTTCTCTGCGCGGTAACCCACGCGGTAACCCACGCGCTAACCCGCGAGCTAACCCGGGCACGCTAACCCACACTTCGCCCAGATGATGGCAGGGTGCCCGCCCTCCACCCAGCTCCCCACACACTCTCTGGTGTCTGAGAGATGCTCGCACTCTGTGGCATTGGTAGGCTATGCCACTTTCCCGCGCCACCGCCCACCCCTCGTACGGCTGTGTGAGCAGCTCCCGGCGGGACCTCGAGGGACTGCACGCGCGCCCGCGCGGCGCGGGGCCCAGCCCACAGCCACGATCGTTCACAAGAGAACGCACCCCAGAGTACGAGAGACCCTTCCCCATGGCTGCCACTGCGCTAGCTGTCCTTGCGCGCGGCCTAGGCCGCCTCCCGCGCCCTGGCCCTCGCAGCGGCACCTGACGCGCGCCTTGCCTTCGCTGCGGCGAGCGCCGCCTCTGCCGCCGCTACTGCCGCCTCGGCCGCCGCTACTGCCGCCTCCTCCTCCGCTGCGGCAGCCTCCTCCTCCTCTGCCGCTGCTACGGCCGCAGCCTCCGCCTCAGCCTGCCGGCGCGCCTCCGCTGCCGCCTCCGCTTCCGCCTCCTCGCCCTCCTCCTCGCCCTCCTCCTCGCCCTCCTCCTCGCCCTCCTCCTCGGCCGCCTCCGCCGTCTCCTCGTCGCCCTCCTCCTCGCTCGCCTCGCCCGCCGCCTCTCCCAGCGCCTCCGCCAACCCCTCGACCGACGTCTCCGCCGTGATGCCGAACCGGATCCTGTCCTCGTGGAGCTCCGCGAGAAGCCGGAGCAGCCCCTCCCTGTCCAACGGCGCGGGCTTGGCTGTCGCCGCCGCCTCCGCCGGCGCCTCTTTCTCCTGCGACGGCCCAGCGCTGCCACTCCCGCCGCCCTTCTTCTTCTTCTTCTTGCCCTTCTTGCCCTTGGCGCGCTTCTCCGCCTCGACCTCCGCCAGCAGCTCCTCGGCGTGCCGCGCCGCCTCCTTCTCCGCCGCCGCCCTCTCCGCCGCCCTCGCCGCCGCCCCCGCAGCCCTCGCCGCCTCCTTCGCTGCCGCCTCGGCCGCCGCCTCGGCCGCCGCATGCTCCTCGAGGGCGCGCACGCACTCGGCGTGGCCCCTCTCCTTGGCGTACTGCAGCGCGGTCTTGCCCTTCTTAGTGCACAGCGTCATGTCTGCGCCCGCCCGCAGCAAGCGGAGCACGACGGCGGGGCGGTCGCCGAGGGCGGCGGCCATCAGAGCGGTGTCGAAGTCGTTGTCCTGCATGTCGATCTCCGCGCCGGATCAGCGTGTCTACAACCCGCTCGTGGCCTCTGTAGGCGGCCTCCATCAGCGCAGTGCTGCCAATCTTGTTTGGCTGGTCGATCTCCGCGCCACGCCGCAATGCCAGCTCGACCAGGTTCTCGTGGCCGTTCGCGGCGGCGAGGCTCAGCGCGGTGCCACCGCTGTTGTTCTGCAACGAGACATCCGCGCCGCGCCGGAGAAGCGCCTCGGCCAGCTCCGCGTGGCTATAGCCCATCGCAAGCATCAGCAGCGTCATGCCGCTCAGACGGGAGCCGCTATCAAAGATGCACTCGAACGTCGCGTCGACCCGCCCGCCGCCGTCGAACCACGCCAGCACCGCCGCATCTTCGCCTCGCTTTGCCGCTAGCACGACCTCCTCTGGCACCGCCTCGCTGCTCGGCTCGGCCTCCGCGCCGCCCTCGCCGATCAAAGCAGAGGCCGCGGCACTGGCGCCCGACGCCGCCTCGCTTGCGGGTGCGCCGCCCACCTCGCCGATCTCCTCGGAAAGAGGCCCGCTGCTGCCGCCCTCGCCGCCCGAAATGCCTGCCCCTGCGCCGCCCGCCTCGACCGCCGCCGCCTCGCGCCGGCCCGCCGCCTCGCGCCGGCTCGCCATCACCTCCCCGAGATACGTCCTGACGGCTGCGACGCACTCGGTGTGGCCGTTCTCCTTGGCGATCTGCGGCGCCGTCATGCCCGCCGCAGTGCGCAACGTCATGTCTGCGCCCGCCCGCAGCAAGCGGAGCACCACGGCGGGATGGTTGTGGAATGCGGCCCCTATCAGCGCGGTGCCGCCGCCGCGGCGCTGCTGATTGATCTCCGCCCCGTGCTGAATCAGCACGTCGACCACCCGCTCGTGGCCCTCGAGCGCGGCGGACATCAGCGCGGCGCAGCCGACGCTGCTCTGCAGGTTGATCTCCACGCCGTGCCGCAGCAGCACCTCGACCACCTGCTCGTAGCCCCAGCGGGCGGCGGCCATCAGCGCCGTATAGCCTTCGCTGTCTCGCGCGTTCACCTCCGCGCCCCGCTTCAGCAGCAGTTCGACCACCTGCTCGTGGCCGTAGGCGGCGGCGGCCATCAGCGCCGTACAACCTTCGCTGTCTCGCGCGTCCGCCTCCGCGCCGCGCTTCAGCAGAACCTCGACCAGCTGCTTGTGACCGTGTTCGGCGGCGATCAGCAGGAGCGTACAGCCACTCACGCCGCGACGCACGCACGTCGCGTCAACCCGCCCATCCCCGCTGAAGAGCCACGTCTGCACCACGTCGACCTTGCCGTTCTCCGCCGCCGCCTCGATCCTTTTCGGCAGCGAGAGCGGCGCAGCAGTAGCCGCCGTTGATGCAACCCCGCGGGACCCGACTGAGCTAGCTTTCGTCCGGTGGGGCATGAGTCAGGTTAGTTAGGGAGAGTTTCGAGGGTTTCGAAAAAAGAATTTTCAAAGCAAAAAAATAAATATTCGCACTAAACACACACACACGCACATGCATGCATGCACAGACAAACAGCACCTTCCCCTTCCCCCTCAAAACCTTCAAGGGCGAGGACACACACAGGACGCACCTCTCTCTACTCGAGTAGCGAGGCCCGCATGTATGTGGGAGACTCCTGCCGCCGCCCCTGCCACCCCTGTGTCAGTGTGCCTGTGGTTGCGAGAGACTGCCAGTGAGAAGCTGGAGGCAGGTCGCTAGCTAGACTATTTCGGACGGACGGAAAAACACCCCCCTTTTATGCCGCGACTATTGCTCGCTCTCTGTGCAGTCGCAACGCCAGAGGCCGTGCTTGGAGAATGGGTCGCAATGCTGCTGCGCCAGTGGATTGCCGCTTCGCAAGCTCCATCGGTGAGCTGCGGTGGCGCGCCGGCCGCTTCATGCATAGCTCTCCGGCGAGCGACCGCAAACGCGTTTTCCGTCCGCCCGTTTCATCGAGTGGTAAAATGCAATCGAAGTTGCCCGAATGGTAAAGTGCAACTTTGGCATTTGGTACAAGTTGCCCGAGTGGTCAGTGGGGAAAAAACCAAAGCGGAAAGGTGGCCCCAAGAGCTAAAGGTCAACATCCCCTCCGGCTACGACAATGCGAACCTGATCTGTCCTCACGGGGTTGACCCGTCTCCTCTAGATCAAAAAGGACTTCATGAACGGCCGAGCAATATTTCTTCACTACTATTATTAATTGATGCTTTTTGCACGGCTGAGCCCCCCCCCCCCCCCCTTCCCCTGCGCTCATTCCCTGCCCTCTCCCACCACACACTCCGTCAGAGCCCCGCTCCCCTCTTGAACAGGAATTTTGACAATTAACCAGATGGATCAATGACAATCGATGGGCTTGCCCATCCCGGAGTGGTTCGATCCCACATCAATCCGAGACGGTGATGGGAGGGTCGTGTGGTGGTCTCAGGCCCAGTGACAGGTAGTGCATCTGACTATCCCGGATCCTGCTGAACAAGCTCCTCTTGTAGCTCGATCGGTCACACCGCCATCGCCGTCGGGGAGAGGGGGGACGACACTGCTTTGGCAGCGTGCACCTCGATCCTGTACCGTGTTTGTTATGACCCCCCCCAATGAACACACCAGTGAGGGAGGGCGAGACGATCGAGGGGTCCCGTACCATGCATGCGGAATCGACCCTATCCAGTGCTCAAGTGCTCAAGCTAGACTACTGAGATGAGAGAGACCGCCAGTGGAGTTGGGAGTCCACCGTGCACCGCGCTGCGAGCCTGTCGTGTCCCTTGCTGAGGGAGGGTGTAGAGGATGTAGAGTGTAGAGCGCTGTAGAGCTGTAGAGATGTAGAGCGCTCTGGAGCGCTGTAGAGCAATGTCTCTGGGGGGAGGCGGGGGCCCTAGAGGGTATCCATGCGGGGCGGAGATGGGGTCCCACGGCCCGCCGCAGGCGCCGATTTTTCGGGACGTTTTTCTTTTTTGCGCATTTTTTACTTGTTTTCAAGGAATTCGCCGGTCTTGCGGCCATGCTATCACGCCTTGCGACAGCCTGTCGGCGCTGCTGACCGTGCCCTGCTGCACAATTGACCACCTGCATAGCTCGCGGCCTTAGTATCCACCATTCAGTGACGACCTGATCGTACGGCCAGTAGGAAGGTGTCCTTCCAGCTGCGTGCACGCTTCTGACGCAATGCGCGTCACAAACTGCCTCAGATTGGCTGCTGGCACTCTCGAGGCTATGCCTACACAGCCTCGCGCGCATGGGCAGTCAGGAGGGACCATGCACCTTCTCCGGACAGCGCCGGTGCCTCTCTCTTGGACCGGCAAACTTGGTGGTCTCGTGTCACCAATGTGGGACCAGTGCGGCGGATCGCGCCATCGACAGCTCTGAACTGCGCCTCACCACTGACCGGGAAGGCCGCCAAGTGGGCCAGCACCGGTCACACATTGTGGCAGCAGTCAGCAGTTATCTGATAGCTAGAGCAGCAGCGTCAGGGTCGCAGGGTCGGATCATGTCAAGCCTCTCGCCCGGCCGGCCGCGTGCAGACGTCGGCCTGTCTGCTGTCTGGAGTGATCTGTCGGCGGTCAGTACGACCGATCAGGTCGGAGTTTTCTGATGGCTAGAGGATCTATCTGTATGTACTCCTCGAGATCTCTCCAAATCTGCCCTCTTCTCAACCGTACTCATTCGCATCGGGAAGTCGGTGCTAGCGGAGACTAGCGGAGCCGGAGCCCCGTTTCCGCACTGCGGCGCGGCGCACGGTGCCTCCGGGGGCCCCCGCCTCCCCCCAGAGAGCAATGTAGAGCTGTAGAGCTCTACATCCACCGCGTGACGAACTGCGTGCGTTGTAGAGCGATGTAGAGGCGCTCTATAACGTGAAATCTCTACAACAAACTCTACATAACCGGCGAAGGAGGCACGGTCGCTCTCCGACACGAGGCGCGTTGCACTTGCCAGTGCTGCCCTGGCCTTCTGTCTGCCCGCCCAATGGGTGGCAGATGCCTCTGCTGCTGTGGCATGCCTCGCGGCTGCGACTGGCCGGCGCCTCGGCGCGTCAGCTCGGCTCGGCGTAGCGATAGTGGCCAGCGCAACTCGCCTGGACTCAACGCTCAGCCAGGAGCTCCCGCAAGCGCTGGCGCGAGTCATGGCGCGTGCAACGCGCAGTAATGCTCGCCTCGCCTCGCGCAAATGCGACCGTCCTCGCAGCCGACAGTCCACCGCCTGCTAAAGAAGCACAGCGACGAATGCGGCACCGGCGACGGGCTGGTCATGACGCAGTTATAGGGTGTTATGTGCCGTCAGAGTGACTCTCTGTGTGTCAGGGATAGTCAGGGCCGTCCATCAGAGCTCCAGTAAGCTCGGAGAGACCCCATTAGCGCGGCTCGACCTCTTTGAGTCACTGCCTTCCCGGCGGTTTGGCTGTAGAGCCTCCACAACAAACTCTACAGCAAAATCGCGCTCTACATCGCTCTACAACGCACGCAGTTCGTCACGCAGCCGATGTAGAGCTCTACAGCTCTACAGCGCTCCAGAGCGCTCTACATCTCTACAGCTCTACAGCGCTCTACACTCTAGTCTCTACATCCTCTACACCCTCCCTCAGGGGTGGACGCGTCACGCGAGACAGAAGAGGCGTATCGAAAAGAATAAATACGGGTAGCCGAGCCGTCACTTTCCTGCCTCGCAAGGCCGCAACTTGGCACGGGGCTGTCCCGGAAAGTGAAAAACGCCGGCACGGCGTGGCGCACCACGAAAGAATTTAAACGAAAGAAACCTCCCACAAGCCACATGCGTGATTGTAATTGTATTCTCCTCCCTCACAGGCTGTTCCATCTCCCCTCATCTCTTTCCCACCACTGTTATGTTGAACGTCTGTTGAACGACGCGTTCTATTCCATTCTAACGTATTTTCTCTATGCGCTAACCCACACGCTAATCCACACGCTAACCCACGCGCTAAAACCTGGGGGCTAACAAACCCACTGTCTGAGAGATGCTCGCACTCTGTGGCATAGGTATGCTATGCCACTTTCCCGCGCCACCGCCCACGCTTCGTACGGCTGTGTGAGCAGCTCCCGGCGGGACCTCGAGGGACTGCACGCGCGCCCGCGCGGCGCGGGGCCCCAGCCCACAGCCATGATCGTTCACAAGAGAACGCACCCTAGAGTACGAGAGACCCTTCCCCATGGCTGCCACTGCGCCAGCTGTCCTTGCGCGCGGGCTAGGCCGCCTCCCGCGCCCTGGCCCTCGCAGCGGCACCTGACGCGCGCCTTGCCTTCGCTGCGGCGAGCGCCGCCTCTGCCGCCGCTACTGCCGCCTCGGCCGCCGCTACTGCCGCCTCCTCCTCCGCTGCGGCAGCCTCCTCCTCCTCTGCCGCTGCCACGGCCGCAGCCTCCGCCTCAGCCTGCCGGCGCGCCTCCGCTGCCGCCTCCGCTGCCGCCTCCTCGCCCTCCTCCTCGCCCTCCTCCTCCTCGCCCTCCACCTCGCCCTCCTCCTCGGCCGCCTCCGCCGTCTCCTCGTCGCCCTCCTCCTCGCTCGCCTCGCCCGCCGCCTCTCCCAGCGCCTCCGCCAGCCCCTCGACCGACGTCTCCGGCGTGATGCCGAACCGGATCCTGTCCTCGTGGAGCTCCGCGAGAAGCCGGAGCAGCCCCTCCCTGTCCAACGGCGCGGGCTTGGCTGCGGCTGCCTCCGGGGCCTCTTTCTCCTGCGACGGCCCAGCGCTGCCACTCCCGCCGCCCTTCTTCTTCTTCTTCTTGCCCTTCTTGCCCTTGGCGCGCTTCTCCGCCTCGACCTCCGCCAGCAGCTCCTCGGCGTGCCGCGCCGCCTCCTTCTCCGCCGCCGCCCTCTCCGCCGCCCTCGCCGCCGCCCTAACACTCAACGGTTGTAAGAGCGCAATCGATCGGCAGTAGGGCTGGCAGGGCATATGCCGGGGAACGGGCGTGTGTGTGTGTGTGTGTCACTCACTCGCCGGGGAACGGGCTTTCGAAAAAAGAATTCTGAGCACGTAAAGCAACTCTCTTCTCAGCTGACACAGGTGCGAACTGGCGCGTGCTAGCACAATCACAGGCACACAAAAGAATTGTTCGAAAAAAATCTGTAGGCGCACTGGCACGCACTGCCACTGGCACTAAACACACACACACACACACAGTGTGTGAGTGAGTGAGTATTCTTGATACGAAACCACGACGACACACACCAGTCGACTCGCATCGGTTGCCTCCATCAACGGCGGAGCTATTCTCGCGTCCACACCACACCTGGCTCCAACAAACATGGACACGCCCATAGCTGGGGACACTACTAGGTCACGCATGGCATCAGAAGTTTTATCTCTACACTGCCTCGGCAGCGTGCACCTCGATCCTGTACCGTGTTTGTTATGACCCCCCCCAATGAACACACCAGTGAGGGAGGGCGAGACGATCGAGGGGTCCCGTACCATGCGGAACCGACCCTATCCAGTGCTCAAGTGCTCAAGACACAAGGGGTGAGGGGGAGGGGGGGTGCAGCCAGTCTCGCTTATCTCGCCTCGTACCTGGTAGGGTCGGCCAATGTGCAAGCGCAACAGCCCACCCATCCCGGCCCCCGACCCGCCGCCCACGAAGCAGCGCGCGACGGACAGCCCCTGTGAAGCCGAGGCGGCCGGAGCCGACAAATCAGCTGCGCGGGAGGTCCAGCTCGAGCGCCAGCTCCTGCAGGCGGGCGGCAAGGGCGGCTCAGCGGCCGTGTACGGTAACGTGCCGGTTGTTGACCTGTCCTTGCCCGACGACGAGGTCCGCGCGGCCATGATTGCCGCGGCCAGCGAGGTCGGCTTCTTCTCAGTGACCAACCACGGCATTCCGGAGGCGGCGATCGACGAGGCGTTTGGCGCGTCGGCCACCTTCTTCGGGCAGGAGCGGGCGGCCAAGGCGGAGCAGGCGCCCTTCGCCGCGCACCTCAACTGCGGCTACGAGTACATGTCGCAGGTGCGCTGCCCCTCGGCTGGCTTCGCGGAGCCTTCTCGGAGCCTTCTCGGAACCTTCCCCGCAGGTACGGCCTTCGACCGGCACGCCGGACCAAAAAGAGAGCCTCCAGGTCACCGCGCGCCGCGGGTCGATGGACGGCCGGTGGCCGTCCACAGACGGCCGCAGCCCGCCTCGCGCTACATCCGGAATCTCGCGCAATCTCGCGCAATCTCGGGCAATCCCGCGCGTTAGGCTTCGAGCCCGCCGCTCGCACACTCATCAGCGCGGCGCACTCCCTCGGCAACCGGCTGAGCCGAGATGGCCCGAGATGGCCCGAGATGGTCCTAGATGGCCCGATATGGCCCGAGATGGCCCGAGATGGCCCGAGATGGCCCGAGATTCGCCGCGGTGAGACCGAACCGGCAATCAGCGGACCTCCTTGCCCTGAGTCCTGTGCGTTCCTGAGTGCGCCGCAGGCAACAGACTGCTCTCGCTGCTCGAGCCGGCCGCCTGCCCGCACTTGCCCGAGGAGTGGAGCCTTCGCGGAACGTCCTCAACAGCCTCGCCGTAGGTGGCCTGCCCGCACCTGCCCGCCGGCACGCTCGCGGGGGCGCGCTCTGGTCGGAGGAGCTGGCGCGCACTACGACGGACTTCTGAGGCATGAGTCCCTTTGAGTTAGGCGCACACGCTCTGGGCGGAGGATGGGCAGTGCACGCTGCGGCTGCTGCACTACCCGCCGGTGGACGTGTCGAGTGTGCCAGAGGACTACTGGCGCGCCGGCCCGCACACAGACCGGGACCGATGTATATCTTTTTTTATGCACTTGTGCCTTGTGTTTCTTTTTTCATAGGCGCGCCGGCCCGCACACGGACTGGTGCCGCTGTATTTCTTTTTTATCGACCTGTCTTTCTTTTTTATAGGCGCGCCGGCCCGCACACGGACTGGTGCAACCTTACCCTCCTCTTCCAGCGCCCCGGCAACGCCGGCCTCGAGAGATCACTAGCTCCACGATTGACGAGATGATCAGTCGGTGTCCTCTTGTGGCATAGGCAATGCTGGCCTCGAGTGCGCCGCCAACCCGCGCGCGGGCGGCGCGGGCTGGCTCAAGGTGGGCCGGCGTGAGTACGAGAATGGAGATACCAGTCACTGTTCTACAGTATTGAGAACGGCGTCTCTTCGCCCCTCTGCCGCCGCTGTGAACAGGTGGACCCGGTCGAGGGTGGCATCGCCGTCAACATCGGCGACATGCTCTCGCGCTGGTCCAACGATAGCCTCCTCTCCAATCTTCACCGCGTCCGCATGCCCACGCCGGAAGAGGCGCGGCCGCCGCGGCCGCGCTACTCGATGGCGTTCTTCATGCAGGCCGGCTCCTCATCATTCCGTAGTGCCTCCTGCGTCTTGACCAACCCATCCCCGTCCTTTGTCAACCCTCTTCGTGCAGGCCGACAAGCACGTGCTCATCGAGTCGCGCCACGGCGCGATCACCGCCGGAGATTACATCCTGGGCCGCATCCGATCCAACTTCGACAAGAAGGGGTGAGAAGAAGGGGCGAGCGGCAGAGGTCGCCCGCCAGCCCCCAGTCGGCAGTCCGCCCTGTGCGTGCGTCGTTGCAAAGGTTAGATGTCTTATGTGTATGTGTGGTGTGGGTTTTGGCGTGGGTCTGGGTGCCGCGCGCTCTCCCCAGCCCACCTGGCTGTGTGACCTGTGGCCGACTACATGGTGAGCCATACGGACCTTGGGCTAGTTCCATTTCACTGTGGCACAGCTCGCGTTACAAAACCTTGATTTGACCATTTGCGCCATTTGGTACATCTCGCGGTGCCTTCCAGAGGCAGCTGCGACCCCGCCGAGT